GTCGGCAGGGCCCCGGGGCGATGGCCGTGGTGCTTGCTGAGCCTGCAGCGTCCGTCCCGGGCCCCCCACGCGGCTTTAAATGAATGTCCTGGTCTGGTGGTCACTTGGCCTCGGGGGAAAGCCTTTAGACGCTGAAAATCAGTGGTTCTCAACCTTCCTAATGCCTCGACCCTTTAATACAGTTCCCCATGTTGTGGTGAACCCCAACCATAAAATTATTTTCGTTGCTACTTATATATATATAATCCACATATTATTATTTTCACATGTGATATGAAATGTGTTGATAAAAGCACCATTTGTGATTTTCAAGTGGGTTAGTTTTTAAGCTTTAGGTTAATTATGTGAACTTCCAAATGTATTTACCCAGAAACTTCTTACTGGCTGAATTTCACCACCTGCTAGTTTTGTTAGTGTATTTCTTTTTTAAAAAAATTCTTTATTGTTTAAAGTATTACATACAGTATTACATATGCCTCCTTTTCCCCCACTGACCTCTCCCTGGCCCTCCCCACCCCCCAGCACATGCCCTAAACCCCCTACTGTCTGTGTCCCTTGGTTTTGCTCATATGCATGCATACAAGTCCTTTAGTTGATCTCTTACCCCCTCACCCTCCCACCCCCGCCTTCCCTCATAGGTTGTACAGTCTGTTCGATGCCTCTATGTCTCTGGTTCTATTTTTGTTCATCAGTTTATGTTCATTATATTCCACAAATGAGTGAGATCATGGAATATTTGTCTCTCTCTGACTGGCTTATTTCGATTAGCATAATGCTCTCTAGCTCCATCCATCCTGTTGCAAATGGTAAGAATTCCTTGTTTTTTACAGCAGCGGTACAGGTTTGAATGTTATTACCTTAACATATATATACTCGTTAACTATTTCTTATATCCAAAGTTTGATTTACATACCATATATATCAAGAGCTCTTACAAATCATGAAGGAAAAGATAAGTACCTCATAAAAAGTAAGAGAATATGAACAAGCTAGTCGTGTATGTCAATAATTATATGAAAAAATGTTCTATCTCACTAGAAATCAGAAAAAATTTAAAATAAAACTGTGTGAACCCTAAAGAAGACAGCTAGTGCCCTGGCTGGTTGGCTCTGTGGATAGAGCGTCAGCCCACGGAATGAAGGGTCCTGGGTTGGATTCCAGTCAAGGGCAAATGCCCGAGTAGTTGGTTTGATTCCCAGTACGAGGCATGCAGAGGCAGCCAGTCAATGATTCTCGTTCATCATTGATCTTTCTATCTCTCTCTCCCTCTCCCTTCCTCTCTGAAATCAATGAAAATATATTTTTTAAAAAGGAAGAAGACAGCTAGTAAGAAGGACTTCTGATAGCTAACTGGGCTCAAATTTTAAAAAGTAGAATCTAGCCCTGGCTGGTTTGCTCAGTGGATAGAGCGACAGCCTGCGGACTGAAGGGTCCTGGTTTCGATTCCAGTCAAGGGCACATGCCGGGGTTTCGGGCTAGATTCCCAGTGTGAGGCATGCAGGAGGCAGCTGATCAATGATTCTCTCTCATCATTGATGTTTCTATCTCTCCCTCTCTGAAAATATATA